TTTCAATCGAAGTCGTTCAGTTCGACTATTTAATATTTCTTTAACACCTGAAGTACATTCTTTTAACTCAGACTTTAGATATCTATATTATTGGAATATTTGATTCTGTAACTGACCTTTTATCGATTTATTCAAAGTTTAGACTTATAATTTTTTTGTTATAAGGCCATACCCTAAACAAATATTGCCATAATATAACAAATTTTAATAAAACCATATTTACTTAATTGATAGGCTGCATAATATTATCTTTTATTATTGTTATTAATTTTATATTTATTTTTAATATAGAATTTACTTGCAGTAAATGAGAGGTGACATAAAAGTATTCTGTATATTCCACTAGCATTATCAATTTGTGACCTTCATGAAACTGTAGTAGAAAGATTAAAAAATACTTATAGTGATCCTTTACCTTCTAATATTAATATTCTATCAGATAAATAGATTCGTCTGCAATTTTGTCTTGCAAATACCACTACAATGCGAGCGATGTATTATACTGGTCAATTTAGTGTAAAATTTAAAGTACAAAGTCGGATGCTTCAGAAAAGTAGTGAAGATGCACATTATTGTGCTGTGCTTTTCAAATATCTTAGAGAATTTTGTATATAATACTGCCAGTGGACTTGTTTAATCTCTGCTGATGATAAGCACAAGATTCCTATTGGGGAAGATGTTGCAGTTTCTATAGGTGTGCGAAATCGACGCACTATAGTTTCTCAAGAAAGCACTTTGGCTGCTGCTGATCATGATTTCTCAAAACTATCTCTAACACCGACAGTATATTTTTTATATCTATTCCTAATGATATCTCTGGGTCATTTTATGATGGACAGGTGTTTGTGTTATATAAAGATACAGTTTTTGAACCAAGCACAGCTATTAGACATTCAGCAGAATTTTTAAAAGTGTTAAATATTCAATATGCATGTCAAGTAATGCCACCAATTCTATGTCTTTACACTGATGGAGGTCCAGACTATTGTTGTAATTATAGTTTAATACAAATTGCATTACTTTGTCTTTTTTTTTGTGGGGATTTTGATCTGCTTGTTGCTGTTCGTACTGCCCCTAATCATAGTTGGATGAATCCTGCAGAGCGAATTATGAGTACTTTAAATTTAGAGCTTCAAGGAATATCAAATACATTAGATAACATACGCAAAAAAGCACAAGAATCTAGTAAATTAAAGTCTGAGTTAAAAGAATGTACTTCAGGTGTTAAAGAAATATT